TCGTGCAGCACTGGTACACGGACTACAAGTGGATTCACTACGACGTGGACAAGAAAGGCGTTCTTTGCCATCTGTGTATGCAGGCCTGTAGAAATGCACTTGTTCCCGCATGCATTAAGAAGGAGATGGCTTTTATTTTTGACGGCGTATCGAATTGGAAGAAAGGTAACAAAATGTTTGAAACCCATGAAAAGTCCCAATACCATAAGGCAGCCGTGCACGCCATTACTAGCCTTACTCAAGCCCCAGTTACTGCACAAATTTCATCTGCTCAAGATAAGCAACAGTCTGAATCCCGCGTCGCTCTGAAGGCCATTTTTACTACTCTCATGGTACTGGCACGCCAGGGCCTCGCCATTAGGGGGAAGACCATGGAAAATAGCAATTTAATCCAAATGCTAAATTTGCGAGCGCGAGATATCCCTGAGCTAGACTCCTGGCTTAAACGGCGAGTGAAATTTTTATCGCCTGAAGTTCAGAACGAAATGCTTGAGATAATGGCAAACGAAATCCTACGCGGAATCGTGGCTGATGTCCAGAAGTGTGGTAAATTTAGTGCCATTATGGACGAGTGCCGGGACTCTTCTAATATGGAGCAGGTCGCCATATGTTTGCACACGGTCGATATGGGTACCTTACAAGCTGTAGAATATTTTATAGGCCTATACGCGACCACAAGTACAACCGGGCAGACTCTAACAAAAATATTCTTGGACGTTTTGAAACGCCTTTCCCTAGATGTATCTAACCTATCTGGACAATGCTTTGACGGTGCGTCCAATATGAAAGGGGAATAATTCAAGGGCGTTCAAGCAAGACTTAAGGAGATGCAACCCTTGGCGCTCTTTGTCCACTGTTTTAACCATTCGTTAAACCTCGCCCTTCAGGACACCATGAAGGGTTTACCTGCCACCCGAGAAGCTCTGAAGTGGGTCCACGACGTTGGTGTCATTGTTCATAGGAGCCCCAAAAGAAAGCACGCCCTGGACCAGCTACGAGCTACATACGACGAACAGGGAGGCCCGGGCCCTTCTTCTATCTGTCCCACACGGTGGACAGTACGAGTACGCTTGATTACGGGCTTGCTATCTTCTTACCTGTCTGTCCTTACATTTCTGGGTGATCTAGCCGAGCAAAATACAACTGAAATTATCGAGGATGGGAAAAGAGTGAACATTTCAACCGAAGCAAGGGGCCTTCATGACCAGCTTAAAAAGGGTAGCGTGTACTTCACGCTTCTGGCTATGCGTGACGTATTTTCTCCGTGTGAGGAACTAGGTAAAACCCTTCAGTCCCCTTCCTACACTGTGTCCGGCGCCAAGCAGGCGGTTAACCTCACTTTGCAGAAGTTAAAACGCATGCGTTCCTCTGATGACCATTTTGAGACTCTGTGGGCTGAAATGGAAGCTGCGACGGAAAAGTACGACCTTAAGGCACCTACTCTACCACGCCGCCGGAACCTTCCCGCCCAAAACGAGTACAACCCTGCACATACCGCTGCCGCCCACCAATTTAATGCAGCCAAGGATAAAATCAGAAAGGAATTTTTTGAGCTACTTGATCTTGCTATTGCAGAAATAAATAGCAGATTTGACCAAGATGACTTCAATAAATTACAAATGATGGAGACGGCTCTGTTAACTCACCCAAATGACTGGGGATCTGACTCTAAAAATATTGAGGACCTCTTAGAAAATTACGGTTTTAATGTGAGAAAACTTAAATGCAATCTAGAGTCACTCTCTGACATTGCTCCCGGTTGCACAACTGTAGGCGAAGTCGCTGGAAAGTTGACGGAGTTGCAGCCGCAAGCACGCAGGCTGTTCTCTCAACTGGAAGACCTACTCATACTTCTATTAGTCGTCCCCGTGTCCGCAGCTACAGCCGAGCGCACTTTTTCTATGATGCGCCGTCTCAAGACGTATCTCAGATCTACAATGGGACACGCCCGTTTAAATCACCTAGCTTTGCTCACTGTTTACAAGGAGAGGGTTGATATGCTTGATGTTCGACGATTAATGCAACTGTTTGTTAACAATGACTTGCGCCATTCAATTTTTGGTGCAATTTAATTTTGTCATAATTTAGAAAAATAAAATTCATTTTCAGCTTTCTGTTTACCATTTTTTTTAGCGTAATGACAAAAAAAACCTGTAAGTAGGCAACCCGCAACACCGCAGCCGGTTTGCCCCCCCCCCCCCCCCCCTGGAAAACAGGCCTGTCGACGCCCCTGAAAATAGACCCCTCTGACCGACATTTTCGGCCGTTTTGCTCTATCTCTAACCGTTTGGGCGCTAGAGGGTCTTTTTGACGAAAATAAGCTAAAAATTGCCATAGTGAACAATAAGTTGTAGAAAAAGGCCTAAAAACCGCAAAATAGGAAATAAACTCTCTCCCCACCCCTACAAAACGTTTTCTAAGCAGAAGGGTGGGTTGTAGTCGTGGTGCTTCACCGTCACATCCCTTTCTCTTGTCTACGGGGCAAACTCAAACACAATGGGTTTAAGCAGGCCGAAGGCCCGCTACATCATTCGATCATGTTCCTCAGCAAATCGCGTGACAGAAATGGTCGGGCCGCTGGCCCGACCATCGCCGCCGGCAGGCCAGGCACGCCGGCCTGCTTGTTTAAATAACAATAACATACGATGCCGCGCCGATGAGCATGCCACGAGGGGTAGATAACTCCCCTGCCAAATGTACACCTCTAATTCTGCCCAATTCAAACTAATTCAGACAAATTCAATCTAATTCAAACTAATTCAAAAGTAATTCAACTAATTCGGTCCAATTTAAGCCAATTTACATTCAATTGAAGTCAATTCAAGCCAATTCCAGTCAATTCACGCTAATGCAGTAGAGTAAAATCGCAATAAGTCAAACCAATTTAAAAACAATTCAACCAATTCAGTCCAATTCAAATTCAATTCAAGCCAATTCAAGCTAATTCAAATTCAATTTTTGAAATTTGTACACCCAATTCAGGAGTTATCCACCCCTCGGCATGCCATCATTCACCAAGTTCAAATATCTCACTCGCGCGGGAACAGCCGATCAGATCGTCGGAAACAGTATGGATAATCGCGCAGCATGCTTAGATATTATTTTCAATTTTTTGCATTTTTCATATTTTATTATTTTACTGAAAATATTATTAAACAAGCAGGCGGCTCACCCTTCCGCCAAACTTATTGTTCACTATGGCAATTTTTAGCTTATTTTCGTCAAAAAAGACCCTCTAGCGCGTAAACGGTTAGAGATAGAGCGTAACGGACGAAATTTTCGCCCACAGACCTCTACTTTTACAAGTTACCCCTGAAGAGAACACAAAAAAAAAAATTGGGGACAATTTTTGAACCTTGGATGCCCCCATTCACACCCTTAGGGGTGGTTGCCAGGATTTGCTGTAGGCGTTTCGTTCTCTAGGAGTGGACCTTAAGGTACCCTGAAAATTTCAAGTGTCTAGCACATCTCTTTCTAGGGGAACAGACAGACACACAGACAGACACACAGACATACACACAGACACACACGAGGTCGTTTGCATAAGCCCGCTGGATAGCTTTTTCAAAGCAGAAAGGCGGGCTAAAACTAATAAAATATTCAGGCCTTGCAGCTGGAGTGGGGGGTCGCTTGGCCCTAGTTCTCTTCCTTTGGAACACTTCCTCACTGAAAACAAACAAGAATATAAGACGGATGCGTAGAGCAAAAAAAGAAAAGTTTGTCTGTGTGTGGATAATTTAAACTTACGGTATGGCGACAACAACTTCCTCACCACCCTCCTCTATCATCACCTCGTGCTCCACCTCGTGCTCCGCCTCGTCCTCCACCTCGTGATCCACCTCGTGCTCGTCAGCTGATAATGTCTAATTCAAAACTGGCATATCCATGGAGTCCTGATTGAAATTCTCCACTTCGAACTGTAACACGAAATACGCATGTAAGAGCACACTACACAAGTGCTGTGTTGAACGATAGAGGAAAAGAAACGGGGTAACTTACGCCATCCTGCGCGTCCGTCCCAAAAGAAAGTTCGCGGACAGGCACCGCATCCTCTCTCTGCGCTGCCTTGTCGGTGGTGCATGTTAGCAATGGGGCCTCCCAGCTGACCGACTGAAAAAGATTGGTCACAAGCACCAATTAATCACAGTTGATCAATCACTGATGTGCTTACCCTTCGTCCTTGAGCTGATGGCAGCAATGTTCGTAACATCTGATTCCCTCTCTGCCCCTCCCCCCTCCCCTGCTCTCAACCAGGACACCGCTTGCTTTCCCGACCTGGGCGCGAACACTCAGGTGGCTGGGTGCTGCCTACCCTGCGCGCGCGCGCGCGCGCACACACACACACACACACACGCGCGCGCGCCCACGCATACACACGCACACGCACGCGTAGCCACAAGTTTACACTCGACCCCTGTTGACGGACGGTCCCCTGGCGTAGCAACAGCACCCTTGATGAGCCGATGGACAGTCCGTGGAATGGTCCGCATATGTCCGTGGCTGTCCTTGTGCAGTC